CAGGTCATATTCTGTTTCGGATCAGTCTTAGCCATTATTTCTGCGGCCTGGTTCTATTTTAATCCAATGGAAACGAGAAACGCCATTTACGCGCCCACTGTCATTATGGGTTGCGGTTATTCGTTAATGGTTGTGATGTCATTAGCTATGGTTGCTGATCTGATTGGGAACGACAAAGTGAGCTTCTAAACTTGCATTTCAAAGTTTACATATTTTCATTCATTATTTCTTTCTTTTTTTCGCCAGATAACTCTGAGATAAGGCTCAGGTCAAACGTCGAACTTTAAATGAGCCGAACCTAATTGAGACAATGGATAACAAGGCGGTCTTCTTTGATGTCATTAGGTTCGGCTCATGTGAAGTTTGACGTTTGACATGAGGGATTTTTATTATACAGGAGTACGGCAATATCGGTCTCTATATTTTCCTTTATTTATACTTTGGGTTTTCAATTTCTTTAACAGCAATCAAGTGGTTTTGTGTACGCATTCATGGCATTCGTCGATAAAGCGTCCCTGGGATTAATCGTACTGGGACTCCAAGAGTATTACCCTCATAGTACTGGGTATGTATGTTTACACAGACTGTCCTTAATATACCTTTCCTCAAGTTTGCGGAAATAACTTTATTTACCTTGGGCATAATGTTTTCCCATTTCAGACCACGTCATTCCCTTGAGTATTACTTCTTTGCTTAACGGTTGCGCATAAAAAGACATATTAATATGTATGCAACTCAAACTTTCTCAAGGGAATGACACGTGGTCTAAAATGGCTAAATATTATTGCAAAGGTAAAGAGGTCTTGAAGTCTTTTGAGGATTTTGGACCTTTAAAGTAATCACTATCCCCTGCTTCCCCACATTTTGTGCTACTCGTGACTAACAGTTTCTCGTGTTGTCTTTATTTAGAGAATGCATTGAATGTCGAGACTATTTACGACTAGCTTTCGCTGTTCTTCCTGGAGTAGAGGCTCTTATTGCTTTCGTTGCTGTAGCCTTTTTCTTCCAGAGAACTCCTTTCCAGAATATTCGTTCGCCTAAAGAAAAAGAAGGTACGTGAAAAACACTTGTTGAATATTGTCTTTGAAGATTTACACACTTTGATATTTTTGAACCTGTCTTTTCAGCGTTTGTTTGCATCTTTTTTTTTTCTTTTCTCCCTCCCTCCCTCGCTCCCTCCCTCCCTCCCTCCCTCCTTTCCTTGCTTTCTTATTTCGTTATTTCCTTTTTCTTTTCTCTTCTTACTTCTATTTTTTTATTCCTCCCTCCCTCTCTCCCACCCATCCATTCTTCTTTCCCTGCTGGCTTCCTTTCTTTCGTTTATTTGGTTGTCATTATTCAGTTGTCTTTTTATATTCATTATATATATATATATWTWTTTTTCAGACAAATCAACTGAATTCGTCTGTGAATCACCTTACTATGGAGAAGCAGATTTCATCAACATTCCATCACTGCGATCAACCGACGTGTAGAATTCCATCACGATGTGATATGACAGGATATGACAGCAAACTAAAGGCAATACTTGGAAAACGTGAACAAGACAAAAAAATGCCATAAATCGAAGGGTTCGTCCAGCACAATCATGGAACGAGTTACGACAGATGGATAATATCAGGAAACTACAACATCACTGGAACAAAAATATTGATTATACCATTAGCAGCATGGCGTTGATCAGATAATCAGTTCCTATGGTACCGTGACGTCACATCCGCTCTTGTCTTCGCATTCGACCCTCTACAGACTTGAAGAAAAAAATACTTGATTTCCAAACATGTGACATTTCTAGAAGCTAGAATGTCTGAAGGGATAACCAATTATGATTATTAACCCATTAATATTACCAAGTATATCATATTGAAACATTGATATGGAAGTTAGTTTAGTAAACTAGAATATTATWAAAAAAATCGGTTATAGATGTTACATTAGAAAGAATTCATAAGCATACGGATAATTAATACTTAGATAGTAAGGTTTGTTTTGTCTAGTTCAGGACGACACAGGTTAAAAAACCACCTCATACCTGGGTGTCGAGCGTGGGTCTGGAAACGAGACTGCCACTGCGCATGCTGGTGAAATTGGCGGGAAAATGGCGCACGCGCGTCAAAAAGCCGAGTGGATGCTTCTTTTATATTACTAATTGCAGCCTTTTCCACATACACTGGCGATAAACAGTCGGTTTATATTCGATGAATCTTCGTGAATATCCGATCATGCGCAGTAGGGTTTGTTCTTGTCATTATCGAGACTTGAAGCGAAGAAAATAATCTTTGGTATTCGAAGTTAAGATCTATTATTAAAACCAAATTTTAAAATCTAGGTTTTTTAATTAAAAGACGTTCGTGTCTTGTAATCCAGGCTTCCTTCCATTCACTACGAGATAACATTCAAGTATAATAAGTATATATTTATATTTCCATTTCCATTTCATTTTGGAATTTTAAACATTGAAAAAATACATAAATAGCGGGAAATGAAAAAATAGGAAATGCACTTGGAACATAGATAAAGGGAATATTCCCAGTAGTAGTAAAACAATTCTATTTTATCAAGCTAAAAATTAATAAAAATTTGATATCAAAGATTTTTGGTGGTTGTTGGTCAAAGAGATTATCTGGTGGAAGCTTTATACAAATTGTATAAAAAACACAATATGAAGAAAGAAAAAAAATGCGGCTATAAAATATGATGTGTTTTAATTCTATGTCTGAAAAAATCTCTCTACGATGGACTACAGAAGTTCAATTTCGCTAAGGGTGGATTTGACGCATGACATTCCAGTATACCAGCAAACGTCGAAGCGCGAATAAATAGCCTCTGGGAAAATGTGCTCCAAAGCCACATTTCTCGCCCAAACCAACAGCGGAATCAAAATCAATCTATTTGTGATAAAACATAAGTGTTGTTTAATATTCTATTCCATCCAACTACTTATGAGATATCCTTTTGTCTTATTGACCGTAACTAATTCTGTCCATTAGCGCATCATAATGGAGACGTAAAAACTTCATTAGATAATGAAATCGAAATGAATCACCAAAATGACTGTAATAATAACCACTTTTTTAGCTTATCAAAACTAAGAAAAAAGAAAAAGCAAGGAAAAGAAAACTCCAGAAAAACTTTTTTTTTCACTTTCATACATATATATATTATGATTATGTTGTATCAATTTTTTCCCTGTATATAGGCAGAAATAAAAGTATTCTTTCTGCTTGTACCCCATCAGTTTTGTACGGTAGTAGATTTTGTTTTAAAAGCTATACATTATTCAAGCGAATGAATTGATGTAAATATTCGTTTTCTTTCTCCCATCTGAGAAACAAATTCATATCGATTTGTTTATTTTATTTATTATTTTAATGTCTTTTTCGTAATTTAGATTTTGCTTTCTTTTAGGGATAAAGTTGGATAAGCTTTAAAAAGAAGCTGGTCCATTACGTATCATAAACAACTCAATCTGATTGAAGAATTTAGCCCGCACAAATAGAAAAAAATATTGAAAACAAAAGTACTAAAGCTATATCATAGTCAAATCAAGACCTTTGCTACTTAGCTCCTTTATAATTGCTTAGTTTTTGTATAAATTTCTTACGTGGTAAAAAACAAGCGCCTAAGTTTCTATATAAATTTCTTACATCGGGTGCAAAAAAGTGTGAAGTTTTTTGCTGTAATGCTCAGTTATGCCCACCTCGCTATTTTCGATGATTGCCTGAAACTCACCTTTTTCCCATCTTTACAAACTGTGTATCGTTACATGAGCTGGAATTCCCTCAATTAGTTAAGGTTACTTGGGGTTTTATTGCTATTAATATTGCATTGGCTGGATACTGGACCATGATTGAATCGTACTTGGATAAGCACTAAAGACGGCGTCTCACTCGAAACAAAACAAAATATCCTCTTCAACTCAACGAGATTGTAGACTGGGAATTAAAAAAAAACAGGTTAAATCTTAATTTTTAGTTCAGAATTCCTTGAGGCCAACCATCGTGGTCAAACAAACGTTAAAATGGAAATTCCTGAAAGCATTCCCAAAGAAGCTGAAGATACCACAAGTTCAGACGAGAGAAATACATCGCCGATCCGCTGTAAAAGGAAGCACTTATTCACAACATGGATTCACCGCTCCACGCCGTACGTCCTTCAAGAGCTAACGTTTACAGCTTGGCAGTCTTATAGCTTTTTATTCTTTCGTCTTGTCGTGGGAATGAATGCAAGTGGTTTTGGGTGGATTTATTTGGTGTCTCAGTTAACTAAAGTCGTTGTATTATCCAACGGTTGTAGTCAAAGATCAACTGCATCGACTTCAGGAGCTGCACGCAAATGTACCCTCAGATGTTGCAGAGGTTTAAAAAATGCAACTCATATTTTAGCATCGATTGGAATCTTATTTTTCTGGCCTCTTATTTTCGCTCCTTGCTTGACGTGTTCCGAAGATGTTTCCGAAACTTTCGTGATTTTTGCATACGGCTTTCCCATTTTAGTCTTCTCTTGTTGTTGGGCTGCTCTGGAACTTACGAAAAATTCTCCGAACTTCGACTTCTCATTGCGTTCAGAATTGCAGAGTCCAGAGAAACGCTTTATGAGCTTGCTGCGAAGGTACGTAAAAATATAACTTTCTTCTTATTTTCTTTTTTATTTGTGATATTTATTGTTTATTTACTGACTTGGTTTCGGAAAAGATGTCAACACCAAAACAATGTATTTGTTTTCCAGGCCAAAAACTCTGTTCCTATCTAAAATTTATCTCTCAAGTGTCATATGAAAGAATTGTTATTTGTGGAATCTGGAATCTTCGCCAGTGGGAGAGTTTTTAGAAGCAAATTTGCTTGAATGTTCTTGAAATAATTTGTAATAGCGTTTTCTGGTTTGCTTAATCACTTGGTTTATCAGAATATATTAAGTGGTTTTTGGTAAAATGAGATTTTTATTTATTCAATATTTTGTTACACAAATTGAGTAATGAATATCACAGGTTGATAACGAAGCAAAAGAAAAGAAAAAAGAAGAAATTAAAGGGGAAAAGCAAAACAAAAACAGATAAAAAATAAATGCATCATGCATGCGTCCTTCTGTACCAATTTGAATGCACAAAGATCCGGAAGAAGAAAAAAAATTTACTTTAGTTCGTCCCCCACTCACCAATGGATCGTTTACCAAGCATTTTACGAAAGATTTTTCTGAAAATTGTTTTACGACATCCTAATTTGCTTTATTTACAACCACGTCATATCGCTGCAAGACTGATAAGACAACATCTTGTGGTATTTTTGCTATTATTACATCAATGAATAAAAGAGCTTTTAAAACTATTAGTATAAGCCTGTCTGCTATCAAGATGTGATCATTACAGCTGTTATCGTAACACCATAGTTGGAGCACAGCAATGCCTTATTGTTTTTCTTACATAGACCTGACGTTTCTTTCTTTTCTTTAATCATTATCTTCTTCCCTTTCTTCTCCTTCTACACAGTTCTTTTTCTTCATCACCATCATCGTCATCATCTTCATCATCTTCCTTTAATTTATCATCAATTTTCTTCTTCTTCATCCTCATTATCAAATGGATCTAATTTCCTATAATTTATCATCATCTTTTTCTTTTTCTTCTTCATTATCATTCACATCTTCTTCCTTTCCTTCGTCATCACCATCTTTTTCTTCTTCATCGTCATCATCTTTTTCTTCTTCATCGTCATCATCTTTTTCTTCTTCTCCTTCTCCTTCTTCTTCTTCTTCTTC